TGATAACTTGAACAGGTCATAAAGAGTCCTTTGGGGCTTCCCCCACATGATCTGCATTAAATTAACCTCCTCTGCCTTCAGGAGAACGGACCAGAACCCACAAACGACCATCATTGCCATAACTAGAGCTAGAACCTGCAGTCAGACGAGCTCTAAGCCAATCAAAGTTACAAAATGACTCCCCCTCGGGCAAAAACTGAATGTCATAATGCCATAAAACTCAATAACAACATGATGGATTTGCATACAGGCAGAGCACCTGGGAGGTGGGGGCTGTTTTCTGCTCCAAACTGCCCCCAAATCCAGAGGTGAGAAGACGGAGATGGGCTCAGGGTTTTCCTCTAGTGATTAAAGCTGAGAGGGCAGAATCAGGATGGGTCAGTGAGTCTGTGGGGGCTGCAGGCCTCAGTTAGACCCCCCCCCCCAACGGCTAGTAGAGGGGGGGGGGGGCATTAGAGAACTCTGTGATCTATTCTTTATGCATTCCTTTCAGGTCTAACAAGAAAGGGAGTTCCTAGGAAACATTAACCCATCAGGCCTCAGCATGCCTCCTCTGCATTTTTCTTTCGTTCCAGGTCTCTGGATCAGAGCTAACGAGTTTAATAACTAGACTGTAGTTTTATTCATAGACGCTCAGTTGGTTTATATCTAGATTTAAAATGTCTGTTTACAGATTTAATTCATTTGGTTCTGAGGGTCCAAATGACTTATTTACCACATTTGAATTCCACCAATCAGAACCTGATTGGTGGAAAATGTCTAAAAGCATTTTCCTTTAGATGTAAACAGCCATTGGGCTGCTTTAGGGGAGTCAGACCCCGAAGACAAACAACAAAGAGGGAAGGACATAAACAAAAACAGGAAGTTCATAAACTCTAACACGCGGGAAACAGGAACAGGACATGCACCCAAAAAAATGAAGAAGCAAATATAGCAGAAAGCCCAGAGCGGGGGGACTAAAAACGTCTCTGTGGTTTTCAGCTTCTGAGAACTTCAGAGGAAAGACCCTCATTTATTCATCCGTCGGAAGCCGAGCAGAAGTCTCTAGATCTAGAGTTAAGTCTATTTGTCTACATGGAAAGTTTTACAGCCTGTGTTTGCATTTCCATCCTGATAAACATCCTGAAG